TTCTGTATATGAGCGAGAATGGTAAAGAAGGGGTGGATCAGAAGGGAAAAGGAGAACGGTAGTGGGATGGATCGGCCTCGAGAAGATATCAGAAGCGTTTAACCCTCGAGAGGAAGATATATAGGAACAAAAGGCTGGGTCGAGTGTCGTCGGATGCGAAAAGCGGATTGCACTTGGTTCTACGTTTCGAGAAAAATTATATGAAATATATAAATCGCTTGGCGAGAAAACTAATCTAATTGTTTTTAGATGGTTAATTGTTCTACCATAGGATATAGAAATCATTTGGAAGATCACCGAAAAGGATAGTTTTTAATTATCGATAATCTTTCATGCGAGATTCGTGTGAAACGATCATCTAAAGAAAAAAAAAAAGAGAACAAAAAACAAAAGAGAAAAAAGAAAAATAATAAAAAATTAAAAAAGAAAAAAAAATCGTAAGTGATTCGATCAAAGGAACAAAATTCGGATTTAATACTAATTTGATAAAAAATTATCGGGAAGTAAAAATGTTCTCAATGGATTTTTCGTTCAAAACGAAAATAAATTACTAAAAGTTTTTGTAAGTGTTTCGGATTGATACGATTGATGATCGAGAGAAGAAAACTCAAAGCATCGTATCCATCTTAATGTATATATCGCCAACGAGTCTACTAATCGGCTTTACTTCACCACCGACAAATGTTGGTGATCGACTATTGGTTGGCTTTTGCGTATCCTATCGGATAAGTGTTGTTGGTAATTGATAGGAAAAACATCTATGGGTATTATCGTACTACTAGTACGAATTAACATTAAAGATATATGTATTATTGTATGTATTGAACATGGCCGTTTTTCATGAGAAACTCTACGTGTCGATGTACATGTATATATATATATATATATATATATATATATATATATATATATTTTTGTTTAGGGTCGACAATGATTGGGAAGATAGAGAGTAAAGGAGATACGTACCATCGGATTCTTTAATTCCCTTTTACGAGCACCATGCGCCAATTGCAGACGCAAATTTTGTGTTCTCGACTGGGTTCTCAGGGGGTGGGGGGCGGGAATGGGCTAGGATCGAGAAGGGATTGTGTTGTATCGAGAAAGTTTCGCTTGAGATTTCATAGCGGGAGGAGAGGGAGAGAATCAATCTTTGGTTACAATCGCCTGATCCGGTAAAATATGGCGTAGCTTAATCGATGATCTTTTCGATTCGCGATAAAAATCGTGTTTTTCTTTTCTTTTTCTTTTTTTTTCTTTTTTCTTTTTTTCGAAAGTCGAACAACACCACTAAACCAAATAGTCCTTGTGTATGGAGGGAAAAAAAAGCGAAAAACATAATTTCAAAGGAAGAAGGCTATCCATCGATTGTATATCGTTTGTGTTATTATCGAAAGAAAAAACCTATGGAACATTTTGTTCTATCAAATGACGTCGATTACTCGTCCATTATTTTCCCATTATTTCGTAATTTTCAATATGACATTTCACACGTTCGCAACGTCTCCTTTTTTTTCCTCTCTTTAACCTTTTAATAATATATGAGTAAAAAAAAAAAAGCAATATGGCATTCTACTGATTCCCTTGTTTTTAATATTAAAGAAATTATTATGTTAAAAGATCGTGAATACGCGGCTTTATGATTGAAACTTACAATCTCTCATTTGTTTTCCTATTTTTCATTTCTTCCCTTCTCTTCTCCTTTCTTTCCTCTCCATCGATATAACTTATACGATCAATCGTTCGCTCTCCAAACAGCTAATAAATAACATTATAGTCGACCTACATTACGTGGCCGACTTTTAAATAGGTTGTTCTCATTTTCTTCCTTTTTCCTTTTTCTTTTTTCTCTCTCTACTCCCAGCCTATTTCACGCGCTACTACTGAAATCGAACGTCCCTGACTACATCGGACGATTCCATTTTACGCGAGGCCTTCGAAACAGAGAACGAATCAGCAGTAGTGTTTATCCCGCGAGAGTATAAGAGAGAGAGAGAGAGAGAAGGAAAGTGAGAAGGAGAAAAAGAGAGAGAGAGAGAGAGAGAATGAGAAGAAGAAAAGAGAAGTTGGAGAACAATAATTTCAAGAGTAAAGAAGAAGAAAAGTTGAAGAAAGTTCTGAGAATAAAAAAGAAAAAAGAAAAAAAAAGGAAATAAGAAGAGAGAAAGAAAAGAAAGTGAAAAAGAGAGAATGGAATGTCTGATTCGTCAAATGGTCCTACCTGGCCCTTATGTTTTTCTTCGCAGCATCATTGATGACCGACCGGACGCCATTATTTAAACACGGCGGACGCATTATTTACGGTGGAATTGAAAAGTTCCACTTTGCTTTCACTTCTCCTTTTTTGTTTTCTCGATCGCGTGAAGTGAAAAAAAAAAAAAAAGAAAAAGAAAAAAAAGAGAAAGAAAAAAAAGAAAAAGAAAAAAAATAAATAAACAAAAATGAAAAAAAGAAAAAAAAAGATTAGAATAAAAAAAAAACAAAAAGAAAGAAAAATATATCGTGAATTTAGTTTAGGCGATTTATAAATTTGTGCGTATCACGCGTGATCTTTGATAATATTTAATTTTCGCACCGTTGTTTCAATTTATCTTTCTCTCCCTTTCTTCCTCCCTCTCTCTTTTTTCTCTCTTTCTCTCTCTCTCTCTCTCTCTCCCTCTCTCTATTTATCTTCTCATCTACACTCTTACTCTCACACGTGTATCAATACTTTTCGTTTCTCACTTATTAAATTAATTGTAATGCACGCGCGCGCGCGCGCACTCACCCGGACCTACCTATGGCGCATATAATATATTTTTCTTTTGTTATATTCATTTTTTATCCTACTTATTATTAACAAAAGTAAATAAGCTCGAGTCGACTCGAGCTAATCTTTATGAAAATGATTTAAGTAAATTCTTCTATCTACCGGTAGAGAAGAAAATGTTCTGAAAACTAAGATTAAAAAATTAAAAAATAAAAGAAAAAAAAAATAAAACAAAATAGAAAAAAGAGAGAGTTCTTCGCGCTTCCCTCCGCTTTTCCCTCCTCCCGCGAGCTTACATCACGCGTTCTCTATACTCTTCTCTCTTTTTTTTTCTTTTTTCTTTTTTCTTTTTCTCTTATATTCTTATTTATGTATCTTCGGTATAAAGTGATCAAAAAACAACAGAAGTCCTATTTTCGAGAGGTAGGAAACATCGCGGAGAAGGAAGAACGTAGAAAGGAAACACGCTTACGTTTTTCTCTTTTTTTTTTGTGTTTTTTTTTCTTTTTTTTTTTATCCGGATTTTTATTTAAACGGAAAAACGATCGTAAATTTTCTATTCGATTTTCTCTCTCTTTCTTTCTTTCTCTCTCTCTCTCTCTCTCGTTCTCTCTCTCTCTCTCTCTCTCTTTCTCTCTTTATCTATCTTTCATTCACTCTATATAACTCTCATTCTTTCGTTTTTTCTTTCTTGTGCACGCACAAACACAAACACTTATTCGTTCTTTCCGTCGTATCAAATCCCATTTGTGTTTTGTCGAGAAACATAATCTCTTTACGATCTGTTATTTTTTTTTTTTTACATATCGCATAGGCTCTCATATTTTCATATTCTTTTTTATTCTCTTAATTTCTCTCTTTCTCTCACTCTCTCACACATATACAATCTTACTCTCTCTATCTCTCGTTTTCTCTTTCTCTCTCTTTCTCACACACACACACACACACACACACATTCGACATTCAGCCGCACGCATTCTCTCTTCATTTCTTCCTCATCTCGTATATTTAAGTATCTATATTAAATATAATAATTATTATGTTATGGTAATGTCTAAACGAACACATATTATATCTCGATAACGTCGTGCTTATTTATTTCTGTATTCTTGCCCCCCCCCTAGCGCCTCTCCGTCTTAACCGATCTCTTCTCCATCGAGAAAACTATCTACCTACACTGTTTATTTTTTTTCTCAAAATGTTGTCTCGTTTAACCTTTAATTCCTTTATACGTGTGTTTGTGTGTCCATCACCGTGCCGGGTCCTTTTTCGTTTTTTCTTTCTCTTTCTCTCTTTCTCTCTCTCTCTCTCTCTCTTTTCTGTTTCGTTTTCTCTCCCTCTCTCTCTCTCTCTCTCTCTTTCTGTCACACACACACTCCTTCGTGCCTTCTTATATTTTTCCTTTTTATTTTTTTTTTATACTCCCTCTTGTGTTCTTTATCCTTTTCTTTTCATTTCCATTTTCTTTTTCTTCTTCTTCTCCCTCTTCTTCGTTTTCGTCTTCTTTTTTCTATTCTTCAATGTTCTAATAACAGATCTCATCTCTTGGCGGTACGTCACTCCGTGAGTGCTTCTGTGTATGCGAAATGGTGTACAATAAATAGTAATCATATCATTATCAATCTATCATTACGTTAACGTTACTTATTCATCCTTCTTTTTTTGTTTATTTAAATCGTTACTTCATCATATTAATCACTATTATTATTATTTCATTATTTTCATCGATCATCGTTTCTCTCTCTCTCCCTCTCTCTCTCTCTCTTTCTCTCTCTTTCTTTTTTTTCACCATCGCCATTATCACCGTCGCCATTTTTATATGTATATCGTCATCACTATTACCATTCATTATCAATCTCTTCGTCGTCACATTCAAATTCATTGACAAACGATCATTATCTGTAATTATCGATTGATCGTCGATCATCGATCATAAACATCATAATCATTATCATCATCTTCACTATCGTCTTTTTCATCATCATTATCATTATTATCATCATCATCATCATCATCATCATCATCATCATCATCATCATCATCATCATAATCATCATCATCATCATCATCATCATCATCATCATCATCATCATCATCATCATCATCATCATCATCATCATCATTATCATCATCATCATCATCATCATTATCATTATCATCATCATAATCATCATCAATCATTATCATTTTATCATAATTATTTTATTATTATTTGTTAACTAATATTAATTTCATTATTATTTTATTTTGTTTTTATTTATTATTATTGTATTATTGTTATCATTATTATTAGCGTTAGACGTTACGTTAGTTGCCTAATAGACAATAACGATCCTCTCCTCGCTTCTTCTTAGTGTGTAACATCATAGTCGCATTGATAAAGTCCTAACTCGTCTTCGTCCTATCGCTCGCTAATGACTACAAGGTCCTGCCTCGTCCTTTGGCCTTTTGCGAACACACGGAGGGGGAAATGGGATTGGTGAATGGAGAAATGGATAAGTCATGGTGGGATCGTGAACGATTTCTCGTCCTTCGAGGGTCCTCTCGTTCGTTGGACGAAGACGAGAAGGAGGAGAAAGAGGAAATGGTAAGAAAGAAAATACATATGCTCCCCTCAGGCTCTTTCCTCTGAACAAAACTCGAGTCAGAGTCTTCCTCTTTCCATCTCCAACGACAACGGCCACGACGTGGTTCGAGCTTGTAACGGCGCCGTCGATGGCGAGGCCGACGACGCGATTTGCGCTCCTTCGTCGTTCTCTTATTACTACGGACCTCAAGGACGACGTGGACGACGACTACGTCGACAACGACGACGTTGACGACGATCGGGAGGAGTTCGATTCTTCGACCGTACTCACTTCTTTTATTATTTCTGCGTTTTCTACACCAGTAACTCCACCAACAACACCACTGTCTCCACCAAACTTTACGCCAGTCCTTTTCCTTTTTATTTTGCTTCTTCTCCTCCTCCTCTTTCGCGTCATCATCATCATCATCATCATCATCATCATCATCATCATCATCATCATCATCATTTTCTTTTTCTTCTTCATTCTTATTATCCTTCTTATTTAAAGAGATGGTCAACTTTCTATTCTTTGATGACAACGATGGATACCACCACCGAAAACAAAACCAGCCTGAACGAGAACGAGGCCGAATTTTCTCGATCGATCGCCTTTCTTCTCCTTCTTCTTTTTCTTCTTCTTCAACTCTTTCACTTCCAACGACGACGACGACGACAACGACGAAGGACGCAAAATTACGTCCTGAATACAGGACGTTTCGCACGAGCACGACGATCGTCCTCGAGAAACTCCCCAATAACAGGCACGACCACCGGAAGAATTGGATCATGATCGATAAAAGACAAAGAAAACGCACTACGTAAGAAGCCGTTGCACGATTCGATGAACTCGATGTCATTGAGCCGACTCCACCACTCCCGCATAACGATGTACCCTGATATTGTTGTTGTTGTTGTTGTTGCTGATGTTGTTGTTGTTGTTGATCGTGCATGATCATTGGGGAGAACGTCGACGTTGAACCGGACTCGATGTCCTTGCCATCCGTGGATACTGGCCATCCTGCTGCTTCCTCCTCACCTATGAATCATAAACGTTTCTTCGTCCAATAATACATCGTTCCTACTTTATTAGGTCGATTTAAAATTCTCTATAGTCACATTACGAGATTATTTATCAATAATGTTAGATATACTTCACTTACAAAAAATCGGTTAGGATTGTAGCCTAAATTATAGTAAGAATCAATCTTAGGGGTTCAAACAATCGTCCTTTTTTCTTATGTCGATCCAATTCTATTTATCTGGAGTTAACTAATTGGGAGCTATTTTTTACGAGTTAACGTGTTATAATTATTTTGACGGAGACGAAGAAGAAACGATTGTTTCATCTTTTCATTTTTCATTATGTCAGATTTTGCAAGTTTCTCTATTGTCTATTGATATAATAATATTATATCGAATGAAATTCTGTGTGTTTGTTTAAGATTCGATGTGAAAATACGAGAAGAGAATTATGTGACAGATCAGAGAAGAAAGATTCGGACGATTGGTTGTTGAATTAATGGCATCCACGTGGGAATATATAGACGACATTGACATACCTGCAGAGCCCGATTGAATAGGTGTAATCTCGCAATGGGGTGCCGTCGGAGGATCGTGTTCTCTACCTCGTTTACGTGACTTGCGATCGGTACAATTCGCACAGATCCCCGAGTCTAGCTCCTGTTCCGAGCACACGTGGAAACAGCATTCTCGTTCGTCGCTACTGTGCAACGCCCTTGTAGCTTGTTCCCCCGTCTCAAGTATGTTCGGGTCTGAAAAGAGTTTTTTTCATCCAACCATATCTTATATCAACTTGCTATCACATTCTCATTAGCTTCATTAAAAACAACATGTCCTGTTTTTTTTCTTTTTTCTCCTTATGTATATATATATATATATGAATCGAAGATGAAGATATTTTTCTTTGATTACGTCCAATTTATTTATTTATTTATTTATTTATTTATTTATTTATTTATTTATTTATTTACCCATGAAAACTTAATAATTATTCGAAAGAATTCAGTGATCATACTCAACGATATCTTCCATTGGACGCACTCAAATCGATTTGACGTATTTAAATGATTTTAAGTGCTCGAATGATTTGATTCGATTTTATATCAGGAGGGTGCCAAAAATGCTTTTACCCTTTCCCAGTATTTGAATGAAAATAAATTTAAGGGTCTGAAAAAGGGGAGAAACGACACGAAATGAAGATACACGGTGTCAAATGGGAAGTAATAAATAACATTTTCTCTTCTTTCTTTTTCTTTCTTTTTTTTTTTTTTTGAAGAGATTTCCTAAAAGGAAAGCATCTTTTCAAGTAAATCACGAGATCGATCAAATAATATTGTTAAAGTCGATTTTAGATCGAGAAGTGATAGTGGGAAGAATAAGAAATGGCGAAGTACCTCTGCAAAGAAAGGTAGGTTCGCCAGCATATTGCGTAGGGTACGCGGGGGCACGGTCACCCGGAAGCAAATAAGGACAACGTTGTTCCACGGACTGGCAGAGGGATAGACACGGTCTTATCCTAGTCCAAGTTCCCTCTGAGGACTCCAAGTCCTGCGGTTCCCCGTGAGCAAAGTAAGGCACCAGGGAGCTGCACACCCATTTTCTATACGCTTCCTGAAAGCAGAAAAAAAATCACCCTGAATGTTACCTTTATACATATTTTTTTTTTTTTTTTTTTTTTTATAGAAAAGTAGTGATATATAAATTGTACATTCAAGACAAGCATGTATAAGTATAGTAACATTTCATGGCATATCTATTTTTCTTTTAAATTGAACTATGTCATTACGCTTGATTTATATCAATAGAAGAATCATTGAAAAGAAAAACGTAATTAAGGGTCGACGAGACAATGATGACGTCATTAGCAGCTCTTTCCATGGGAGGAAAAAAGTGTCACGATTTTCTTATCATTTGTCCTTTTTCAAAGTGGCCTCTGACAAATCGGTCAATTCCTTGATAAGATGGGTCAGTGTGCCTGACCTACATACTCATTAAACGTGGGCTACTTTTGTACATTCTCCAAGAGTATTCTATAATTACACATCGACTGCAAGAGAGAGGACCTTCCATCGATACGACTTGAGTTTCCCTCGATGAGATTTGCTTCCCTCCTTCGTCCTAACCCATCGAGATACTACTATTACTTTTGTCTTTTTTATTTCCCCTCGAAGAAGAACGGTTTATTAAATTTGACCTGTACCATCCCCGTGTATGCTCAGACGAAATAAAAGCCAAAGGATAAAGCCGGACAACTGAATGCGGATGAAAAAAGTTTCTTTTCTATCGCGATATTCTCAGAAGATATTCTCAACTATGATTATACCTATATATATATCGCTAACAATTCAATGTTCGAACAATAATCTACTAGGACTACTTATAATATATTCGCCTTGATACTTGCTAATACATATGAACAAACTTCATTAATTTGCTAGATATGTTTCAACAAAGATTGACTTCGCTACTTGAAACTACATCTATTCAACGATTGACTTTGCTATTTGCACGTACAATACTTGTACGTTTAACCAACGGTAGACTTTACTACTAGACGATATATCTTACCAAATTATTGACTTCATTATATTTTATTACAGACATGAACTCATCAACAGTCGACTTCGCTATTTGCAGATATGTATACTAATCAACGATTGGTTTTACTACTTGCCGATACGTTTGACCAAACTATTGGTATATATATTCATTACTTCCAGGTATGTCTGAATAACGATTGACTAGGCTACTTCGCAGATACTAGTACAACCAATAATTGGCTTCACTACTTATTACTCGACGTGTTCGACTTATAGGAATTTCTATTACTAAATAGAATTAGCTAACTTAAACGTCGACGCAGATCGTATTTCTCATGAATTCTATCGCTTAATTGACATGTATCCCATTCATCCATTTATTTCTCGTAAATAAGGCACGTTCTCGATAAACGTGCTATTTATTTCATTCTCTATTTTATTTATTTATTTAGTTTTATTTATTTATTTATTTTTTTTTTCTATACATCATCTTTCGATGCATTCGTAATGCCGATAATCGCTCGATTTTTATCGAGATATCAGCCCAATAACTCCACTCGCTCTCGTACTACTACTATCAAGCGCAGGCATGTTCACGTAACGTTATATTTGTGCTCTACTTGTTTCTTTTTGTAAATTTTTTTTTTGTTTGTTCTACTCCTCGGATCACGGTTTACGTTTAATTACCGATCTCGTTCGACGTACTCGGTTGGACAGTATCGTTTGACTCGCGCAAATCACGAATGAGCTATAAGTTTTGTTTGTACGTTATTTTTCTTTTTCTTTTTTTTTCTTTTTTCTTTTTTCCTACTTCTTTCGGTTATTTCGTGAAATGAAAACAAAAGTGAAAGAGGAGGAAGAGGAGACGAAAATTTTTGTTTAAAAAAGGAAGAAAATATAATAAAAAGAAAAAAAAGAAAAAAAAAAGAAAAAAGGAAAAAACAAAGAAAGGAAAAAAAAGAAGCGAAAAGCGAAAAACAAAAAACAAAAATCTCCTTGAAAAAAAATACGAACGTTTTACACTGATTTCTTTTCTTTCGTTTTGTGCCACTTAAAACGAAACGCAACGAAACGAAACGAAACGAAACGGAACGAACGAACGAACGAACGAACGAACGGACGAACAGAGTGAAACGATAACGAGAAGAGGCAAGCGAGGTTCGCGAAAACATGAAAATTTTTTTCTCTTTCTCTCTCTCTCTCTCTCTCTCTCTCTCTATTTCTCTCTAACTGTTATACGCATTGTGCGCGCGTGCGCATACGGCCTACCGTGATATCCTTATAGTATACACGAGGCGTGTACCTGCGATCTGGTGGGCGTGGGTTATGGATCGTAGGACTTACTAGTACGTATTTTATACAGGCGAAACGAGAAACGCTAGAAATATTGCACTTCACACGGTCTAGTTCTTGTATCGCATTGTTCCGAACATCGTTTCTTTCCCTCTACTTTCCCTACGGATTCATCCCCCCACTTCTTTGATTCCATCCTTCACTTTTCGGATTCCCACAGGTTTTTCTTCTTCTCTTTATCCTTTCTCTCTCTCTCTCTCTCTCTCTCTCTCTCTCTCTCTCTTCTCTTATTTGTCTTTCGTTTCTTTTCCTTTTTTTTTGTCTTCATCCCATTACCGTACCTTCGTCTCTTCGCAAGCTTGCTTTTATTTTATTTTTCTTTCAATTCTCTATCTCGCCTGAATAAATTCCTTTTTTTCGATTTTATTTATCGAACGATCGCAAACATATTTGAAAATTTATATATATATATATATATGTATGTATATATATAAAAAGAAAAGAGAAAAGAAAAAAGAAAAAAGAAAAAGAAAACGAAAAGAAAAGAAGAAAATAGTAGTGATGAGAAATTCCTTTGATATCCAAAGAGTTTGATAAATTGTTGCTCGAAGAAAGCAGCTTTTCTTTAAAACCCCCATCCTTTCGTTTTCTTATTCTTAGCAGACATTCTCTTGGCCGTTACCAACCGATACTTGTGCACAAGTAACAGTGATGAGAGCGGAGAGGCACGAAATGAATTCCTACGGCGGACCGTGAAAAAGAGAAGCAGTCCGTAGCCCCGTTACTGTGCACCAATACTCTCTGTCTCTCTCTGTCTCTCTCTGTCTCTCTCTCTCTCTCTCTCTCTCTCTCTCTCTCTCTCTCTCTCTCTCTCTCTCTCTCTCTCTCTCTTTCTCTCACTATCTATCTATCTCAAACTCGACGAGGATATATCGACGTGATATTATACTCGAACGTCCAATTCGAAAGGTTCCACGAATGACGAGGATGAGCTGGGGCTATGTCTATCGAGACCTTTCTCTTTTTCTTCTTCAAAACTCCTTCGGTCTTTCCCTGCTCATCGATGTCATTCAGAATATCGCCTTCGTTTCCTTTTGCCTTTTTGCTGAAATACTTTCTCCTTAGAAAATCACGATATCCCATTTCCTTTACTGTATCACTCCCATATCTAACGACGATTATTATTATTATTATGATTATGATTATTATTACTATTATTGTTGTTATCGTTATTATTATTATTATTATTGTATCTTGCATGTGCCAGATCTCGTATTTCTCAAAGAATTTGATGCAACGAAAACGATAGAAACAGTTTTTTTTTTTTTTTTTTTTTTTGAAATTTTCGAACAAGTATCCTGTATCTTACTTGAAAAATTAAATGGACCAGGCAATAAATTCGACGTCCAATGTCGTTTCAGCTCGTTTTTAAAGGAGCCACGTCGTTCTGTCTCTCCGAGGAACGATGCGGCAAACGTCGAAGGTTTTGCGAGAAACGTCTCGTTGAAGTGAGAAAGTGGATGTATTGGCAAGAGAAATAGGAGGGGTGGGTTACGTGTAGATGCTTTCGAAGCTCAGGGGAGGATGGGTGGTTAGGTAGGTAGGTCGGTGGTAGATAGATAGATAGGTAACAACACCTGAAGTACTCTTCACAAGCTGGCTGACCCAATTCTCTTCCTACTGACTATCTCTCTCTCTCTCTCTCTTTCTCTCTCAGCGATCTACGTTAGAACTAGGTAGATCCGGCACACATATACTGTTAGCTACCCACCACTCACTCTAAAACCCTCGACTCCTTCGTTCTTCCTACAGCCGGTCCTCTTTCATCCACCTCTTTCTACATCTCTTTTCATCCGTTTCTTCGTTCATCTCCGGTCCACATTCCTCTATTTCTTATTTTCTTTTTTCTGTTTTTTCTTTTTCTTTTTTTTCAGACGATTCTTTCACTCGTGCTCCTCAACTAGAATCGATCGGAGTTTTCAGATAATACGTCATTTTCTGATTTTATCGAACAATTCTCGGTACAGTTATCCTTTTGATACCTTATACGAGTTACTAGATATATTCCTGCAATTTTATATTTCTCACGAATCCTTACGTTTTATTCTTTGGAAAGTGACAAGAAGGTAACTTATCATAAATGTCGTTCCTTCTAAAAGAAATTTAAGCAACACGAAAGATTATAATCCCGTGATAAAACTACTTATGTATTACATATATATATATATATACATATATATGCAAGCTATCCTCCGAAATAACTATCGATCCGTCATTATCATAAGATTTCATTGAATCGATAATTCTGAATCGCATTACATTATTCATAAGTATTATGCAGGAAAAACGGAAAGAAAAAACCCTTTTTTCTCTTCTTCTTGCATTACGTCCCCCCACCCCCACTCCTTTCCGCCCATCCACTCGATCGTCGTGTCTTCATTACTGGTTGGAACGCATGTCAAGAAAAGAAAAGAAGCTAGTAAGCCAGCCAAAAGAAAAAAAGAAGAAAAAAGGAAAAGCGACGCGTGAAATGTGATTGTCATCCTCGAAGATCTGTAACAAATGCACAAGCACAATATCTGAAGAGTATAAAATTAAAATTTCGAGCTATGGAATAGGAGTGAGCGATAGCAAAAAGAACAAAAAAATTAGTCCTTTTTTCTTTTTCATCGTTGAGAAGGAGGATAACAATGGTTGACGAAATAATGACGAATTCATCGTGGAAGTCCTAATTTTCTATAAAGGAAGATGGAACGGAGCAAGTAAAGAGAGAGATAA